CCATCTCCCCGGCACTCCTCCCCTTGTTTTATCTTTATGTGTATTAGTGCCAGTTTGTCATCAGTGTAAATACCTCATTGCATGCTTATAATTAATACTCTAATTTGTAAATGAAGTCCTTTTAAGAACTGTGTCAGGATCTATTTTTCAAACTGAGTGATGTGTTGCCTACAGCACTCCATCTGATTTTTTTTCTCTCAAGGAGTTCATACTCAATCTCAAGCCTGGTGATGTAGTAGAATGTTGTAGGAAACTTTAAAAAAATAAGAAACACAATGGGAGTGGTTTCCCATCTGGGGCAGTGAAGTTAGGCTGGTAGGGCAGAGAACAGGCATCAGGATGCCTCCAAGAGTCGTGGGCGCCATGTTGTGCGGCCTGTACTGCAGAGCAGCTGCGAGGTCCACATTGCTTGGCACCTACAGGCCACCTGGCCCTGCGCACCAGCCCCGGAGAACACGAAAACAGGAGGCAGACGCGAACTTTTTCCAGCTCAGAATCTGCATTCCCAACATGCACCATTCGGAGGAGACCGTGTCCTTTGTAAGATATTAATGATCCTTTTTCACAAAGATGCTGTACACCTGCAAAGAAAGCAGTGTGTGAAATCCTTTTGTATTTGGCTTTGCCCACAAGGAAACAGCCCAGGAAGCTCACTTTCAAACACAGGAGGAGTTTAAGCATCCACGTCTGTGATTCCACCTCAGTGAAGCGTCATTCTTTTGCTTATTTTGAGTGAATTTCTCTATGAGAATCACTTAGGAGCCTTCTTCCAAAACTGCACATACCCTGACCCTGTCTTCCAGCGTTTCCTAAGGTGAGGACTGCTGGGGATGAGGGGTTATTACTTTGTTTATACCCAGCAATGACGCTAACCTCAGCCACTTCAACACATTGGTTCACCGCCCAGTGCACTTACCAGTATGGGAAACAGTAGGCTGAGAATTGCAAGTGATCCTTTGGTTGGACCTCTGAGTCTGGCAACCTGAACTGACCAAAACCCTCAGCACAGACAAACAATGATTGCTTCCCATCCTTTGGGCCCTTGCAAATAAATGTTCTCTAGAGCCCACCAGGCCACTTCCAGAGGAGCATCCCCACTGGATGGCATGTCCCCCAGCAAATGCTTCAGCTTTATGATCTGCAACGTAGGAATGAATAAGCCTAATTTCAGAGCCTGCTCTTGGCTGAGTGGTGGGCTGTCTATTTGTTTCTGGAATTTTACTGTGGGCTTTGGTGTTTCAAGATTTACTTTTGAACAGCAAAGTAGACAAAAATATCAAGCCAACCAGTGTAGAAACTGATAGTTTCAACTTTAAAATGAGATAGGAAAAAAAACATACAGTTATCTTTGCAAGTTTTCTTGGAAATCTAGTGCTATTTCTGGAATTTCTTTAAATAAGCCACTTAAATGTTAAGGCAGAGATATCATTTCTAAACATTTGGAATTGTCAATAGCATATGATAAACCCGGATTTATCAGTATGTAGTTTTCAAAAAGTTTAAAATTAATCTGTTCTGCATTTTGTTTTAATTCCTGACAATTATTGGCCGCACTGACCTTTTGCCACCACCTCAGCAGAGGCCAATTGCTTTGATTCTCCTCCTTGAAATCTCATACTGTGTCCCAGATGGTGCCCAGGGGCTTAAGGTTCAATTTCTCCCATTGAAAAAATTCCACAGTACAGCCCAATGATTGTTTTCCCATGAAACAGGCTTTCTCCTGTTCCTGTGATCCTACACAGGACTGCAACACCCGTGTGCTGTGGCTTGCATGTGGTTTCTATCATGTGCTAGAGGTGCAGTCCTCAGGGGGACTGTGTTGAGGTGGTAGAAATTTTAAGAGGTGGAGCTCAGTACCAAGTACTTCAGTTTCTGGGGACCCCACACTCATAGATGGAGAAATACAGTCTCTCTGGAGCAATCCATGTCTGGTAGAAGTGGAGTCGTTCCTGAGGTGTGTTGTAGAAAGAGAGGATGAGGCCCAGCCTTTCCCAATCTGTTCACTTTGTTGGCCATCTACATACTTCTCCTGCATGAAGCCATTTCTTCTTCCCTTTGGAGGACAGGTATGATGCATTCAAGGGAAACTCTCCATGCAACCTGAACATCACAGCCACCAGACTCTGGGCCAAAGTGAATCCTTCATACATTTCCCACAGTAGGCGTTTTGTGGTAGTAACACTGCAGAGCAGAGAAACACCGTAAGCCCAGCGAGGGAGTAAATCAAATGGACGATAGACGCATCATGAGTGTGTGCACAGCACCTAGGAATGTTTCAGCTTAGCCCCCCATGAGGCACCCTTCCTCCACTCGGAAGTCAACATGTGACCCGACGCAGTATGGGCCAGAATGGTGACAGCACAGCAGAATTGCTGACCTCAGTGGTCCAGCAGAAGGGGACACACTGGCCAAAACAGTGTCGCCCTGGGCACTGTGACTTCATCCCCTCTGCTCATCGGACTCTTGGTTTACCCAAATTCTGTTCTGGGTTCTGACATTTGCTTCAAGCCCACTTTTCCTGCCTCTCAGTTGTATGAGGATTGCCTCTCAGCCTGGCTCCACTGTCTGAAGTGAGTTGTGATGGGCTGCGTCTCCCAGGAGAGGGCCCACAGAGGTGCTGCCTGGGCCTGCTTGGGCTCTGGATCATTCTGTCATCTCCTCTTCCCACATCACCTAAGCAGTTTTGTTCCACCAAAAAAGAATTTTCATTTTCTGGACATCTGGGCACAAAAGTAGCTTTATTCAGTAGATAGCTATTAAAGTTGCGCTAGCTCTCTTGTGCTTACTGGGACTCACTCTTAAATTGTAAAAAAAAGTGACTTAAACCCTGTATTCCTGGACTGCAGCTCCTACTGATCGAAAGAGAGCAGCTGTGGGGGAGGATTCCCTTGATTTCAAGTTTGTGCCCTCTAGGGCATGGCCTCACTAGGCTGTCCAAGGGACTCCAGGGCCGCTTGGATGGTCCCAGCTGCCAGCAGCGGCAGTGTACCACCGTGCCCCTGAAAGTGTGACGTGCTCCAAACAGTGCTCTGCCCTTTGATGGAGGCTGAGGTCAATAGAGGGTCAGCAATTTCAGTCATGAAGTGGGTCAAGTAATTCACCTGATCAGTAGCTAAAGAAACAAAATTTATGACTACTCTCTGCAAACATGTCTCGTGTCACCAAGGCTGCCTCAGCTCCAGCCATCACTTATAAACCCTGCAGGTTGGGGCAAGCAGCGGGCCCTGTCTGGCCTTCAGTTTCCTCAACTGTAAAATGTGGGTTATGTTCATTTCCCAGGGCCATAAAACAAAGTAGCACAAATCGAGTAACTTAGAGAACACACGCTGATCACCTCACCCCTTAGGCCAGGGGTGGTGAAACCACAGCATGCACGCTGCAGTGAGCTGTTTGTATACTCACAAGCTCTAGAAGGTTTGCCACCATGCTCAAGGGACTAGAAGTCCTAGGTCAAGGTGCAGTCAGGGCCGTGGTCCCTGGGGCTATGCTGAAGACCCTTCTCAGCTTCTGCTAGGGCCAGCTATCCCTGGCACTGCTTGTTTAAAAGCTCCAACTTTCCACTATCTGTCTCTGTCATTAGGTGTTCACCTTTAAATTATTTTCCCTTTTTTATAAGAACACCAGTCATATTGGATTACGGCCTCCTATAATGATTTTTTTTTTTTGAAACAAAGTTCAACTTTTCAGTTCACTCTGCAGTTCTGGCCTTAGGCTCATTATGTAGCTCAGGCTGATCTCAAGCTTCACAGTGATCCTCCTGCCTCAGCTTCCTGAGTGCTGAGATTACAGGTGTGTGTCACCACACCCAGCATGATGATTTCTTCTTCAGTTGATCACGTGGGTAAAGACCCCATCCCCAAGTATGGAGTACTGGGGCTTGGGATTTCCATATATCTTTTGGAGGAGTGCACAACTCAGCCCCTAACTGTGATGATGCCTTTCTCTAGTAAGATGTTTTTGGAAACCTTAGATTGTAATGTGTATAAGTAGTTAGAACGCCTGTTCCTGGCACGTGGAAAGAACCTGATGCCTGGTGTCTTTACACCAGTAGCTTGCTGTGCCCCTCACTTTTATACACTTCCTTGTTTAGGAGAAGGTTAGAGTTACACCTTCAGTGCTATGGCGCTGCTGCCCTATCAGCTCAGGAGCCAACTCCAGAGAGCCGCCAGGACCAGTGAGTCATTGGGGGGCTTCTGGCTCTGTAGGGCTTCAGTCTGTTTTGGTTTTGGCCTTGGTTTCTTTCTATGAAGAGAGATTTTCTAGGCAGCATAGGTCCGAGGGAGACTATGCTGGGAGGGCCATGAGCATGGCTCCTAAATCCCAGGTGTGGGGTTGATTCTGGGCGCCACACCTTACTATGCTGTCCCATTTCTGACCTCCTCAGACTCTGCTTCTCATCTGTGAAGTTAGAGGGAGTCGTGTGACCTGTCACGAAGAATAACTCAGGTAGTAATATGCTCAGCACAATGTCCAGCAAACATTATGTGCTCTGTACAGGTAGTTGTCTTTATCTTCATATTCTTAATTTGTACATAGCAAAATATATACATGATTCAAAGATTTAAAAAAAAACAAATTATACATAGAAAAAATTTGCATTCCTCACTCACAAATCCTCACAGATCTGTGACAGCTTATGTAAATTGTTTAGGACATTCCCCCCGCCAAACCCATTCTATGTTTTAGTTACCATACGGTGATTTCCAGTGTGTCTTTCTTATCTCTTTATACAGGGGAAAGCAGTCATGTTATCTTATTCTCTCCCTCTCTTCACAGAAGCTATCAGATTGTCCTTTCTGCCCTGTGCTTTGCTCCTTCTGGCATAGTATATCCTAGCAACCTTGCTAAGCCAGATCCAAGACACTTCCTCATTCTCCTCACAGATGATTAATTTTCTATTGTGTGAATCGAGGCCTGGCATCTCTTACTGACAGACACTTGACTAGCTTCCAGGCTTTTGTACTAGAAACAATACTGCAATTGATGTCCTTATTTGTATGTTATTTTGTCAGTGGATACATGTACCTGAGGACATAAAGTATATCATGTTTCACTTCCCAGAAGTGATATAACTGGATCAGAAGGTGATCGCCTTTGTGCTTATGCCAAAACTGCCCACTGTGTTGCGGTGTTTGTATTGTTTAGCACGGTGGCCAGAAGCGGATGTGAGTCCTTGTTTCCCCTCTCCACCAAGGTCTCTGAGTGAAGCCCAGGGCACTAGAAAGAACTGTTTCCAGGAAGCTTGCGGACCCCGCCTGGGTACTGTCATAGTCCGCACTGCCCTAATTTGGATTTTACCTTCTTTACCACTTCTTTCTTTTTTTTTTTTTTTTTTTTTTTTTTTTTTTTTTTTTTTTTTTTTTTTTTTTTTTTGGTCTCTTCTGAATTTCCTTTTGTATCTTACTCTTCCCATCAGCACACAGAAATGTTTAACATTTCAGCAACCAGAAAACTCTTAGTGCTGTTGCTGCTCTCTAAGGATTTCCAGCAAGCTTAGAATCAAATCTAAACTCTTCCTCATGGGCTCCAACACAGAGCTG